GTGTCTGTCTGTGCGTCTCTTCACCTTACAGAGGATTGGCTGCTCCGACCAACTAGCAGTCCACGCGAATACACTCAAAAGATTACTCCAAACCTTGAGCCAGTTTGAATTGCAGAAGCACCTGGCAAATCGGCGCCCCCTATGAACCGGCTAACCCTCGAAATAAGCGCATCCGAGACACGCCCTCGAAATAAGCGCATCCAAGATACGATAGACGAGGAAGGGGTAGTAGGTAGGGCACTCGCCTCCTCTAGCGATGGCGTTCGCACTCAGCGACCTGACGAGTATCGAAAGCCACATTGCAAGTCTCTAACAAGCATGCAATTTTGGACAAATTGCAAGACCTAGTAGTGACCAAGGTCGAGAAGGAAGAAGGCAAGCGTACCAGTGCCCGCACATATGGCGAGTAGTTTCCAACAAGCACGCAATTTTGGAGAGTAAGGACAGTAGATAAGGAGGAGGCTGAACAGCAAAGAAGAAGAGTAAAGAGAAAGGAAAGGGAAAGCTGCACATAAGAAGTGGATGACAGAGTGGACAATCGCTGAGGCGAGGGAAAGAGACAATGAATTAAAGATTACGCCCCCTAACAACCAAGCAAAAAGGTTAAAAGATTATCGAGAACACGATTTATCCCACTCATAGGAATACTGTTGTCTGCCTCGTAGTCTAACAGGCAAATGTAATCGCCTCCTACTTCATGCTAATCATCGTCGTCTCACATTGACAATCACAACATCGAAATCATGAGGATACGCGTAGTTAGATATAAAACACAGACAGGACCAGGACAACGTGATTCCCGCACGCTTTTAACCGTCCGCCGTGACGCCGTTATCGCCCTGTGGCGTACTTAAACTATACGTATTTACACTACGCTACATCAGCTCCTTCACGCTCATCATCGTCTTCTCACACTCACAATCACAACATTGTCATCATGAGGATACGCGTAACTAGATATCAAACACAGACAGGATAACGTGATTCTATCCCACGCCTTTTACAGTCCGCCGTGAGGCCATTATCGCTGTGTTATACTTAAGACTATACGTATTTACACTACACTACATCATCAGATCATTGCACACTTTCCGTAGTAGTGCAGGTGTGGATGCATGCATATATGTAGAGGTTGGTATGAATACGCATATACACATAGGTACGTATGTGAGCGTGGAACTTCTATACAGAAACTGCAACCGTATGTACACACGTATGTAGGTACAAACAAAACGCCAATGGAAACGATATATGCAGAAGCCACTTATAGAAATGGAAACCAAAGGAGTTTACAACGATCAGACTCAAATTAGACATGGCACATCGAGATGCGATAAGAGAGGACACGTGGCCGAAAGTTGCGCTCGATCGATCGATGCAGACGAACAGCCAGCCAAGAGGAAACGCAGAGCGCTTTCTGACAGCGCCAAGGTAACACCAGGCGATAGAAGATGAGAAACGACCGCTGCACAGAGCGAAACTGCGATTTGACCCCCCAAAAGTGGAACATGACCATCTGGGGGATAAGATAAGAGACGGAAGAGACAACGGAAGATTGGAAGGCAAGGGATATAGCGAAGGGAAACGAGGGAGAGAGAAAGATAGAAAAAGAGAGAGAGAGAGAGAGAGAGAGAGAGAGAGAACAAAGGAACACGTACAGGAGAAGGAGGGAGTGGAAATTTACCCATCATCAGACAGTAGACCGCCAGGTAATTATTCTTGAAAGCATTGAAGCTTGATGATGCTTGAATCCTGTCTTTTGCACCCTTGCTGAACTCCATCGTTGCGCACACAACGAAGAGGATCACAAACAGTATCAAGAAGAAGGCCTCCATCTTCGCCGGTTGTCTCCGTGCTTCTCAAAGCTACAGCAATGATAGTCGCCGAGCGAAGAGCGCTTCACCACCTGCACTACGGATCTTCGAGCCGTCCCTACACAGACTCCTCATTTACAAAATTTCGACAGAGATCTGCCCTTCCCGCCTATCTGTCCGCCGACAGACACGGTCTGTGCTATTTCCCGCCTTCTCTCTACAGTCCCCTCCTCGTTCCTTTCTCTTCCTTTCTCTTCCTTTCTCTTCGAGCACAGACAGGCGGGAGACCGTCAACGCCAACGACCCAGACCCAGGCCGATGGGCGGGACAGAACAAGCGGGAGACCGTCAGCGCGACAGGAGATTCCTTCGATGAAAAAGCGCGCACAGCCGACCCCCTCGCCCCTCGTCTCCGACGTCGCTCCGCGCGCTTCCCGGTCTTCCGCCACGCTCACAGTCCCTCCACAGGAATACCTTCCCCTCTTCTTCCTTCTCCTCCGGTCCACCTTTCGTTTCGTTTCGTTTCGTTTCGTGCTCTCCCAGCGCGTGGCGCCCCTCTTGCGAGGCGCCGTCTCCCAGACGCGCTCGGTTGCTCGCGCGCGCGCCCGCCCGTGCGTGCGTGCGTACGTGCGGTACACCGTCGCCGGGTGAAATCGGTTCAATCGGTTCGGCCCCTGTTCACCTGCGCCGTGCAAATGTGTAAATGTTTTCCCGCCCCGCCGCGGTCCCGTCTCCCAGACGTCGCAATGCCGAAGTCATACTTGACTTTGGGGCCTACCCGCTACGTGGTTGCGCCGCTCGCCATCTGACAACATCTTGAATGCAACTGAATCTGGACGTACACGTGGTCAAATGCGTTCAACATCAACAGCTATCAAGATGCATCCCATCCCACATCTTGTCTCGCCTGATGGCGAGTGGTGCCCTTGATTGACGGGAAGCGCCGCTAAGATCACGGGGGAGGACAGACGTGGGGAAGGTGTTCCAAAAGGGGTGCCCAAAGGGCTGCAAACCGTGGGCTAGGTCCCGCTTACACGAATTAAGCGATATTGACCGTAGATAGCGAAGATCAACGGCCAGAATCTCTTAATCCGTGAAAGTGGGACCTTGCCCCGTGATACAAGGGTCCGGAAAAGTGGTGCAAAAGGGGCTGGCAAAAGGGTTGGGATTGGGATGGAAAATCGGCGGACAAGCATAGAATAGAAAGTTCTGGCAGTAAAATAGAAATAGACGAGGCCTGCAAAAAGAGAAGCGCCACGAAAAGTGAAGGCCTGGCACTAAGGGTATACTCATACTACTATACTACTACAGGTAGCACTCCTCCAAATGTATGTGGCGGCGATTGCGGGCGGCCAAGGATGCATCTGGCTTCAATCATGGTCAGAGGTAGGTCGATATAAAGTCCTCGGGCGAGTATGCCCGCAATCTCAGAGGTCCTCATACCACCCTTGAGATAGTGGGGTTTTTTTTTTTTTTTGTGGGAGATAGTGGTATGGTCTTGCGTAATGATGTTTACAATTTTTCAAAACGAAGGCAAAAAAAAGTGAAGGCCCTCGTTGGTTTCCGTAGAGTCCGTACAGAAGGATCACGGAGATGCAGTCCCCATCTTAGCCCTAACACCATTGTATCGACCTGACCGCCAGATCGAACTCGCTGTCTGTTTGTCATCAGTTCCACATGGGTGCCATTCAGCCATGGGCTGCGTCAATCTTTGCGTATCAAGAACGCCACCAATCCCTGACGCTGATTTTCAGGGGCGGACCCCACTGGTGACATGTCCGTACTAACTACGCACGAACCTGGTCAGAAAACAGCCAGGTTCTCATTAACGAGAAGCATAGCGCTAAGCGAGATCTGGGCACAGAATCTATGGAGTACTAAGGGGCCGACCCCACTGGCGATATGTGCATGCTAAGAAACACGCTTCTGACCATGTTCTCAGCCCTGAGGCTGTGGTATAGTTCGCAGCCCCAAGGGCTGCGGTATGGGGGGGTCTGTGTGAAGGTGGCCAAATTTTGGCAGCAGACCACCAACGCAGAAGAGGGCAGCCCTAAGGGCTGCGGTATGGTGGGGTCCGGCATCTGTGTCAAGGTGGCCGGATTTGGCGGCGGACAACCACGGCAGAAGAGGGCATATACGGGTCCAAATTCTAGTATGACTGGTCCTTTGAGAGCTAGCGGGGACCCACAGCCTTAAACCACCACTACACCAGGGCCTGCAGAAGCCTTACTGCGCGCCAAGCTTTCGCAGACCGCCAGCGGGCGACTCTTTTTTCTTTTTTGGCTGGCGCCGCCAGCCATTGTGGTCCAGTAGGCCAAGCCTCCGATGTTTCCGTAGGCAAAGAGTTTCTTTTTTTTAAAACAAAGGCTCCAATCTATTGGTGAGGAGCAGCACTTGCTGGGAACCGGGCCCAGCGTCCCTTATATAGTCACAAGATGGTAACATGGGGCCGGGGTCCCCACAGTCTACCCGGTGAACAGAACTTGACAAAGGAAATCAAAAGCCCGATAAGTAGATAAAGGAAGAATTTCAAACATGATGTAGGAGAAGTTCTATCTAGTCGGAAACCTTTCAGTCCCTCTCAGCTAAAAAGCTGTCAGATAGGCAGTCTGAGTTCCTAGGTCTGCGGGAGTGATCCCAAAGGAGGTCCGAGTAGAATAACTTGTTTCCGTTAGAAAAGCCCACCCATTTGTAAGACGAGGACCATTTCCTCTCAAAACTGTGTTTCGCGAGCTCCAAAGAGCCCGCTTTTCTTCTAGATTTGTACCAATCTGCAGTAATTTTCAGTCTTATAGAATGTAAGAGTTTGGCAGTAAGGGAAGGAATAGGAGACTTGGAATTAAGGAATCTCTTGTCTTGTCTTGCAAGCCATATAGACCAAAATGCCCTTCTTTTGAAGACTTGGGCCACGGCGTCCGCCTGATGGTTCTTGAAACACTCTGGGACTCTACCTGTAATTACTAGATCCTTGTTCCAAAAACCTGATGTGGAATATGCTTTCTCCCATAGGGTATCCAAGCACTCCCAAAAACCCCTAGCAATCACACATTCCCACCAGAGATGTAACCAATCTTCTACACAAGGATGGGGACAGATATCACACGCTGTATTGATATCCATGCCTCTTTTTGAGCACCAGACTGCGGTGGGGACACATGAGTGCAAATGTAACCATTGGAGTCCCCCCACCTTCGTTTCTAGTGCCGAAAGTAGGAGTTGAATAAAGAACAGTATCCAAGAACCCGAAGCCTGTCTCAGATTTAAAGAATTCATCCTACGCTGCCAGTTGACTGTGAGACCTGCTTGGATGGAGTGAGCTTGAGAGTGAAGACTGTATCCAATTTTGAAAGTGTACTCTCTCAATGGAATCTTGGAGACTTCCTTACCTGGGAATAAGATTAACCAACCAAACTTGTTTGTGTCTACTTTCCACTCCGGAGTTGTGCCGGATTGAGAGTTGTTGAGAGATGTGTCGTCCCCTCCTTGTTGAGTAGGCAAAGAGTTTCTTTTTCAGCAAGGCAGCAAGGCTGGGCATTTCAAGGGACCGGTCTCACCCGTAAGTCCCATTACTAGTGGTACTCACCGGGACAGTCCTACAATTTGCAACATGCAACTTTAGCGATTTTTTATGCTGAGAAGCATGCGCAGAACAATCTGAAAATTCGAGAACCCGTAGATTAAGTCGTTGACTTTCCAGAAAAAATATATGAAAACTTTTCAAAAATCATTAAGGCCACAAAATAATCGTCGCGCCAATCTCGTGCATTTTTTATTTCTGTCACTCAGCCATGTGTGGGCCAATAGAAAAAGTACTGAAATTCAGTGATTTTTCACGCTCAGAGGAATGTGTGAAAGAATCTGAAAATTGTAGTGCTCACAGATTTCATTGTGATGTTTCGAGGAAAAAAACGTTAAATAAAATAAGAAAAAATATTTTCAACCATGAAATAAATCGCGGCTGCAATTTGACCCATTTTCTACTTTTGCCATTCAACCTCTCTCTCTCTCTCTCTCTCTCTCTCTCTCTCTCTCTCTCTCTCTC